ACTTTCAAAGCGAATCAAAACAAACATTGTGTAGTACTAGAATTTTGACTAGAATGGGGTACGTTAATCGATTTGCTTGGGAACAATAGACTAGTCAAGTACACACCAAATTTAAATCGCTGAAACTCAGCAGAATTGTGCTGATTTTAGACTTGATGAAAGATCAGCAAACTTTCCAGCAAAATAATGCTGCTGAATTTTCCAGCAATTCCAACTTCTGTCAAAATGACAAAATTTTACTGATAATCAGCAAAAATTCCAGCAATATCATCACTGATTTTTCAGCAATAAAAAAAATCTGACAGCTCACAGCATTTTGCTGAATAAACTCAGTAAGTTTAATTCATTTTCACTTGGGGATGTCAGCTTTTCCCTAATAAAAAATTACCACAAACGAACGATAACCCAAATCATTGAACAATTCCACAAATGGTTTGGATGATACCCCGAACACGTCGTTAAGCAAATTAACCATACCATTTTTATTAGGGTTGTTAAAGGTATTTGATACAAATACACAAATATTAAAGACAAAATCGCCAGGGTCGTTTCCATGTAAAATTTATTACAATTTGATATAACCAGTGCTCTTACCAACATAATTTTATATATTTGTAGTTTTCCTCCTCCTCGGTGGTGTGTACAATTCGTACGAATGCAACTTGCGACTGTGACGCTAACAGATTGGCTGCTCTTTACTGGGTGTCCAGTAAACCGTTTATGTTAGCTGAATTTTTCGGTAAAAATATCGTTTGCTGTAAAGCTTGTCTGTTGCTGATCATGATCCAGCAAACCGTTTTACTAATAAGGAAAACAAAAATTTGGCGTGTAGTGAGCCAATTTAAAATCGTTTGTTTCGTATTGATTGTTGGTGCTAGCTTGTTCGTCTTCCGGGAGCTTAGAGGTTTGGCATCGAAGATTGAGCCACTTGAACGTCAAGAGCATTCGGCGGCTCGCCGATGGTTTGGTCGTTGGCGTGAAAATCAACAGCGGTAACTATGGAAACTGCAAAGTTTGTGCCATGGGTAAGCAGTGTCGTCATCCGTTCAGCAAAAAAGGCTCTGGTGCTCCCGAGAAGCTCGACGTCGTTCACCCCGACATATGCGGGCCAATGGAGGTGAGTTCCCTAGGAGGTAGTCGTTATTATATTGTCTTCGTAGACGACAAATCCCGGCGCATGTGGGTGTACTTCCTCAACTCGAAGTCTTAAGCGGACGTCTTGAAGGCATTCAAGGAATTCCACGGGATGGCTGAGCGGCAATCTGGAATGAAGCTAAAGATGTTACGAACCGACAACTGGAAGGAGTATGTGAACCGTGGTTTCGAAGGCTATTTGAAGCAGCACGGCATACGGCATCAGAAGACGAACGACTATACTCCGGAGCAGAACGGCAATGGCAGAACGAGCGAACCGATCGATTGTGGAGCGTGCTCGGTGCATGCTGTTCGAAGCAGGACTGTCGAAAGTTTTTTTTGGGCGGAAGCTGTCTCGACGGCCGTATATCTGTTAAATCGATCTCCAACGCATGGCCACGATGTCACTCCCGAAGAGGCTTGGACTGGGAAAAGACCGAACCTGATCGAACGATGGCGTCCATTCCTAAGCCGAAGCGGAAGAAGTGGGATCCGAAATCCCGCGAGTGTATCCTGACTGGTTTCGACGAGAACACCAAAGGGTACAGGCTGTACGATCCAAAATCCAGGAACATCATCAAGAGCCGAGAAGTCACATTCATCGATGAAATCAATCGTGATGGTAACGAAGCGAAGTAAGAAGTCTCCCGACGTCCCATGCTGGTACAGCTTGACATTGGGATGTCGTTTCGCTGTCTCTAGACGAAGTCCCGTTGCAACCGCAGCCAGATGAGACCGAAGAAGAATTTTTCACCGATGTAGACAGCAGCAGTGAGATCGACTTGTGCACAGATTCCGAGATCGACGTGACTTCCGTGATCCCACCGCGGCAATCTTCAAATCCACCTCAGTCACAGGTGTTGAGGCGCAGCGGTCGGAAGCACAGGCTACCAGGCAAGTATGATGATTTTCAACTGTCACACAAAGGTCTGCCGCATATTATTCCCCCACAGAGCACCACCTGTAATACCAATCTCGACGGCGATGGGCCGTTCATGAGCACTGACAACCAGGGTCAGTTCAGCGGAATGGCGGAATCTGCAATTCAGGCCGACGCAAGGAGGATAGATGATGATCCGGTGACACACCAGGAGGCATTGTCCAGAGACGACTCCGTACGCTGGGAGACGGCGATGAAAAAGGAGTACGACGCGCTGATCAACAACAAAACCTGGACGTTGACGGAGCTACCGAAAGGCAGGACGGCCATCAAATGTAAATGGGTCTACAAGACGAAGCACGACGCTAGTGGTAATGCTGACTGCTACAAAGCTCGCTTGGTGATCAAGGGATACTCGCAGCGAGCGTATGAAGAATGTTCCGTACCAGGAAGCCGTCGGATGCTTGATGTACCTGTCACAGTGTACGCGTCCAGACATACTATTCGCCGTGAACTTCTTGAGTCGTTTCAACAACTGCCCCGGACCGAAGCACTGGGAGGCAGTGAAGCACCTTCTCCGTTTCCTGAAAGGAAGATCAAAAATGAAGTTAATGTATTCTGCGACCGGCGACTCGAAGCTCGTTGGTTATTCTGATGCGGACTGGGCGTCCGATCTTGACGACAGAAGGCCAACGAGTGGATACGTATTCCTGCTGCAAGGAGGAGCAGTATCCTGGTGCTGTAAGCGACAGACCACCGTATCACTCTCAACGTGTGAGGCGGAGTACATGGCGTTGTCTGCTGCGGTACAAGAGGCGTCATGGTGGCGAGGACTGGTGTCGCAGTTTCAACTATCAAACTCAACTACGTTAAAACCGACGACCAAGTTGCAGATGGTTTGACGAAGCCTCTTCAGCGAGTCAAGCTTGAACGCAACCAAAGAGCAATGGGATTGCATATTTGAAGACGCCAGCTTGAGGAGGATTGTAGAAGATCAGTAAGCTGCGTCTACATCAGTAGGCTAGTTATTCTATGCGACAATAAATTTTCATTCTACTTCTAACAACCGTCAACCAAACCAGACGTTCTCATTGCCTACTCCCAATAAATACAAATTAGAATAATGATGCTTGCGTTGACCGATGAGCTTAGTCCGCTCTTTTACTTAACACATCGTTGTTGGCTGGGTACTGTATGCTCATCACCAGCAGTTTGATTCTCTGCCGGAATGTATCCACTCCAAGGGCCTGGCATGTCGTATCCGTATTGTAGCCATTCAGCATTTAGAGTATAACATGGCTGGTTTCTATGGTAACATATGCGCATGCATACGTTGTCAGGCTGGGCCCACAGTATGAGCCCTCGCTTATGTTGACTACTGCCAGTTGTTGCTTGTAGAGATAGGGATGTCAGTCCCGTGATCTACTCAACCCGTAATTACTTACTGTGGCTGCTAACGTTTGCTGTACTCGAATTTCACTGGCAGTAGAGCAGAACAGCTCTGGCTGTTAGGCATAATCGCCATAAAAATCTTCCATCGACTTTGAAGGGGCAGTTTGAATTTCATTTCATTCACGTGCTATACGAAAGCGCATTTGCAGTTCCATCGCCAAAATGTTTTCACGAGTGAGCATTGCTATTGCACCGTTTGGTGCTAGGCCCCTCCAAATTAAGACAGTTTTTTATCTGGGGTTTAATATTTTGCACTTTTGTAATATTAGGATCATATCTGAATTTCTAAACATAGTACGTATAACACTGCTCTTAAGCTGTGTAGTTTAATAATTCGAATAGATTATTAGTTTCCTTTTTTCATTGATACTTACATCGAGGCTCATCATTGAAACCTGGAAAGCACGTCTACTTACTTTGCTTGACCGTATCGGTTTCAACGTTGTTTTCAATATAACACTCAGGTTGCTATGTGTATAAGATATTGTGCAACGCGAATTACTAGGAGTTACTCAAAATTAACTCCGATTTTACTCATGATCACAAGCTGTTTTACCCCCAGGTGGTATCAGTATTCAATTATTCTTATATGAATATTTATTAAGAAAACTAAAGTCTTTGCGACATATCAAAATTGAACGAAATTAAGTATGGCACCTTTATACCTATCATGCGACCGATAAAGAAATTATCTTAAATGTAAGTAATCGATCAATGAAGATTTTAAATGTATTCATCGAAATCAAAGAAACTTAAAAGTTAAAATTACCGTCATAAATCTTTATTTTTGTATATAGAACTTTGAAAAAAGTTTCACGAATGGTTGCAATCTCATAGTGAAAACAAATTCAATTTACTGAGTTTATTCAGTAACATTCTACCAAATGTTAGAATTTTTGATTACTGAAAAATCAGTAAAGAACTATTGTTGAATTTACGAAAGAATTTTTTTCTTCGATTTGTTTTCCGTGCTGAGCACCAATGCTACCGACGACGCCAGGGAGGCAGCTTCCACACCGGGGCCCTTCCTATCGACCCATCAACTCATGAACCGGGGACCAACGGCTTTTACTTCCCTTCCGAAGGAAGGCGTGATGTACAGAGATGTTATGCCTCAGAACATCCCGGCGGCGCCGACTGGGATTGAACCCAGGCCTGCTGGGGTGAGAGGTAATCACGCTTACCACTACACCACCGGCACCGCTCGAAAGAAAATTATAAACCTTGAATTGGAATCCTGTGTATGGGTAGTTTGCATTTTTCCGCTAAGGTCGAACTTTTGCTATGAGGCTTTTATTTAGGGGCTGTCCATATTCCACGTGGACAGGTTTTAAAAGATTTTCATCCATATAATATGTTGGAAATTTGTATGGACCGTGAAAATTCGCCAACTCCCTCCCCCCTAAACTGGGGGTTAATGCCGAGAATCGAAGTAACTTTTGTCACTAGTGAGGTGACGTGGAACGAAATGAAGGGAATGTAAACCACAAGATTAATCAAATGATAACAAATGTATTACTTTTCATTAATCCCGTTCATACATTTTAGTGATTGTGTAGTGTTATGTTATAAAAAAAAAACCTCGATAGTATTTGTGGACCGCAGACTGAAGTTGAAAATGTTAAAAACCGTTCAAGGTTTTTGTGAATACATATTTAACCCGATCCGTTCGTGTCCACAAAGTGGTTCAGTATCCCGCATTTCCACCGTGGGAAAGCACCAGCTGAAATAATCTATTCCAGCTTGGCTTTCTTTTCGGCCGGTTCTTCATCTTCTGGAGAAGGTGTACCCTGCTGTGGTGCACCATTATCTACTTCGATCGGCTGGGTGCCGGTAGTAGCTTCGATCGGCTGCTGCTCTTGCGGTTTGGTTTCGGTCTCTGTTCGGTCAGTCTTCGATTGATCCTGTTGCTGCAACGTTAGCTGATGTAGGGCCGAGGTATCCACTTTAAGGATCTCTCGTAGTGCCATCGTTGCATAGGCTGAACTTGGTAGCTGGAAGTCTAGTATGAGCGCTTTCTTGCTGGCACCTGTGCAAATTTTAAACTTAAGTAAAATAATCTCTTTAAAAACAATTGTTAAATAGCTTACCATCTTTGGCTTCGGGCTCTTTCCTTCCCTTCAATACTTCCAAATCAGATACGATAAGATCATCCGTTGGGTTTTCGTAGTTGACCATCTTCCACTGGAGATTTTCCGGTTTTACCAACATTTTCCGATAGGCGCCACCAAGTGATTCTTTCTTGCATTTACCTTTAAGCTTTTCCGAGGACAATTCGTCTTCGGCCAATATTTCCACGTACCATTTGCCACAGTCATTGGCCGGGTATGAAATGTCGTGCCCTGGCAGTGGCAGAACAATGTCGAAAATTGTATACTGGTCAGATGCAATGTCCGCTTCGGTGAGAGGCTTTACTAGATTTTTGAAGGCCGATGTTTCAGTCGATCCATCTTCTTCGTCGTCTTCTGGACTGCCTTGTAGGTCCAGCCCGACATCTTTGACGGCCATTTTCGCATCAGCTGCTTCTTCAACATCTTTATCGACATAGACGAGGTCGCCTGGAATGAGACGGTGACCGAATTCCTTCAATCTACGGGAAGCGACCCTGTTCCAGATAAGACTCTGGTACGAATGGTAATATAGGAGCCTCATGTTTCTTGGTATCTGCTCCAGGGCACATTTGTAGTCATTCTTATGAGACACCAACCATTCAAGGATCTGCCGCTCGATGCTCTTATTGTTGCTGCTGAGCTTATCCAGCGCACTTTGGGCATCGTGCGTTTTCTCCCACTCAAGCCGGCACGACTTCATGTACCAATGGTCACCATCGCGAGGCATTAAAATAAACTCGCAAGCTTCTTTCCAGCACCCTTTCAGCAACTCGATGCCAATCTTGTACGTTGGCACCGTAGCGCTATTCCCGAACCTTTGCAGACCGTAATAATTGATGAATCCCTTCTCTTGGAAACTTTCCAGCGACTTCCGAATGACGGCCTCCTCGGCAGAAACCTGACGTAATGCTATGCGGAACCGGTTTCCTCGTAACTGACCCAATTTGAGCGTTGTTGGTTTGAAGCAAAAATTACCAACGGAAAGCTGCCTTATCCTGGCAGCTGCAGCTGCTATTTTGCTGGGCTCAAACAGCTTAACGCTTATCCACTGAGTAGTCTTGGCACGACGATCCTTCGTTCCAGCATAGGCAAATGTCGAAGGAGAACATTTCAACGATTCGGCCAACTGAGTGGTCGCCTGGATCGTGTCCACATTTTCTTTGTACAGCATAAAATATGTGAACGGATGAGGCCAAAGCCATTTCTCCCTCCGATCCCTTACCATCGACTTATCGAACGCAGCAAATGTGATGTACTTTTTATCTTCCTTCGTCACAGTCGATCCTACAATGGCTTTCCCGAACAGAGTCTTGGCACTGTTGTGGATCGTACCGCGATCCTCCTTCGACATTTCTGTTACGTCCACTTCAACGATATCGGTGCATTTTCCCTTGAACTCGGTTATACTCCGAATCTTATCGACAGACTCCTGCGAGATTAGCTTCGCTAGCTGTTGCTCCACCTCGACATTGGACTTTTCTTCACTAACCGGAGCAGCTGGTAGCCCTAGATCTGTGAGAACGGCCACCTTTCCATCGCTGTCAATTTCGTTCACTTGGAAATCGGAAAATCTGCAACGAAATGCAAAAACCCGTAACTTCCCGTCAAACTCCATGCATCAAATCGAACTTACCTCGACTTCAAGATCCCGTGGAACCCTTCGCCAGCGGTAACATATTCCGTAATGAATACCTCATCTTCCTTCAGATTTGATAACGCAATTGGATCGCGATTGTTTGGGCGCCCATTTCCGAACTTCTGCTTTCCGCCATAAGGTTGACCGCGATGTTTGAACTGACCACGATGACCTCCCCTATTTTGCCGGTTATCCGGTCGTCCGGAACGCTTGTTGTGATACTGATTGTGGCTCATGTTTCTCCGGATCAGGACGGATGTTTTGTACTTTGCTTGGAGCTGCGAAATAAACACGTGCAAACCGGTCAAGAAAATGCAACGATATGAAAGTAAAAAGTAGTGATCAACTCAAAGTGAAGCGTGAAAGCATACATTGTTGCCACATTTTCTGAATTCTTCATTTGGGTTTTGAGCTCCAAAACTTTTTCCGTAACTGCATGTATATACGAATTAAATCAAATACAGCCCAATGTATCAAATTGTTTCCTGAATTCTGTTTAAATGAGCATTATTTAAAAAAAATCTGTACTTGTATTAACACGCAATATGTACGATATCCGAAAATCGCAAGTTGATTAAATGTAAATATTTACAGATTTAATAAAAAACTTGGATGAATCTACTAGGATGGCAATACTGGTGAAAGCTCAAACGAGAGAACGCTGAAAGCTGGGCAAAAAAAAAGAGACAGTGAGAGTGAGATGATGCCAAAGCTCCACAGCCCCGGTGAAAAAAATAAACTCGACAGTGAGCATGCATGAGGGCGTAAACGCAATGATCGATTCTCTGCGTCGATTTTCTCTTTTGTTAGAGCAACCGTAACGGTACGCTGCTAAACTCATTTTAGCAGCCCTCATCATAACGCAGCTACCGTATCGTAAGAGATGAACTAGCCTAAGGCTAAAAATCTCTTAAATAAAGAATTAAAAAAAAAAAAAAAATTTACCGTATCGGGGGTTGCCATACGAGTAATTAAAATAGCAGTATGCTTCTCGGTGAGAAGCGCGCTACCAAATTTAGCAGCGCGATAGCAGCGCGGGAGAAAAGTTGCTATTCGTAGAAATGTCAAAATGCTCACTACCGGTACGGACAAAGGCGAGTAAATTGATAACTGCGATAGCAGCGACCGGTGTGGAGAAGAGTGACTAAACTAAAATGAGAGCGCTGTGCGCTGTTAAAATAGTCGCGCAAATGACAACGACCGTTACGGTTGCTCTTAATAACTCGCTAGATTTAACGTTTCTCGGTGCGTTTGCTGTTGCTTTTGATAGCCAATACAACCTGTTACTACTCTGCATTGAACAAATTCTAGAAAATTGTTTCGCTATACTGTAGCAATGCAAAGAGAAAATCGATGAAGAGAATCGATCATCGCTTATACGCCCTTATGCATGCTCACTGTCGAACTGCATTAAAACGATTCCGTCAAATAAACAGTGATGCCACATATAGGGTGCAGAGCTATTTCAGCGTACCTCATTTCACTTCGGCACATCCCCCTTAAATCAATCTTCAGACAGCCCCGTAATTTTTTTTACAGCATTGGTAATTTAACTCGTGAGCAAAGAATTTAATACATGGCTGTTGGATGTAGCTGTTTGTCTTTATTGTTTTTGACACGTTTGGATCCCATTTGCTTTGTTTTGTCAAGCTTGAAACACTTGCCTACGTGGGTTTCCCGAGGGGTTTCCGGACTCTTTACTTCGGTTCCACCAACAATCAATACGAAACTAACGATTTTAAATTGGCTCACCACTTTAGTAGCCTATTAGCATAGAGGTAACTCTAATGGCGGTAAGCTCCAACCGGTATTATCCTCGGATTAAATCCCGATCAAGAATGTCCGGCTGGTTTGATGTCGACATCAGAGTTAATCAACATAATTCTGAGCAAACATTTTTCAGATCATACAAACAGGGACGGTATTAAAAGTTAATCCGAGTTGGAGCTTACCGCCATAAGACTAGTAGGTTCCGAAGAAACGTGCTCAACTTTTTGGCTCAGCTCTGGTACTCTCTTCGGTCCCAAGCTAGTCGATTCACCCCTCGAAACATAGGAAAATCCAATAACCCCTCATTGTATATGTCAAAATTTCATAGCGAATCAAAACAAACATTGTGTAGTACTAGAATTTTGACTAGAATGGGGTACGTTAATCGATTTGCTTGGGACCAATAGGCTAGTCAAGTAGTGAGCCAATTTAAAATCGTTAGTTTCGTATTGATTGTTGCTATTAGCATAGAGGTAACTCTAAGACTAGAAACTCCCGGATTAACGTGCTCAACTTATTGGCTCAGCTCTGGTACTCTCTTCGGTCCTAAGCTAATCGATTCACCCCTCGAAACATAGGAAAATCCACTAACCCCTCATTTTATCTGTCAAACTTTCATAGCGAATCAAAACAAACATTGTGTAGTAGTAGAATTTCGACTAAAATGGGATACGTTAATCGTTTGCTTGGGACCAATAGGCTAGTCAAGTAGCGAGCCAATTTAAAATCGTTAGTTTCGTATTGATTGTTGCTATTAGTCCCAAGCAAACGACTAACGTACCCTATTCTAGTCGAAATTCTAGTACTACGCAATGTTTGTTTTGATTCGCTATGAAAGTTTGACAGATAAAATGAGGGGTTATTGGTTTTACCTATGTTTCGAGGGGTGATTCGACAAGCTTGGGACCGAAGATAGTACCAGAGGTGAGCCAAAAAGTTGAGCACGTTTCTTCGGGACCTACTTGTTTTAGAGTTACCTCTATGGTTCCACTGCTTGTGGAAGTTGAGTTTGCCGAATGTAAACAAGAAGATAAAAGGACACGCTTAAAGTTGTTTACCTTAATTCTATATTGCTGAAATAAACATGTTTTAACATAAATATTTTAGTTTAGTTAATTTAATTTGAATAATGCATATGCTTAGAGTATAAACATTTATATTTTTGATTTAAATGAACAAAATTCGTATCCATGTAAGTAGTAGCAACAATCAATACGAAACTAACGATTTTCAATTGGCTCACCACTTGACTAGCCTATTGGTCCCAAGCAAACGATTAACGTACCCTATTCTATTCGAAATTCTAGTACTACGCAAAGTTTGTTTTGATTCGCTATGAAAATTTGACAGATAAAATGAGGGGTTATTGGTTTTCCCTATGTTTCGAGGGGTGAATCGCTTAGCTTGGGACCGAAGAGAGTACCAGAGCTGAGCCAAAAAGTTGAGCACGTTATTTCGGGACCTTCTAGTTTTAGAGTTACCTCTTTGGTAGTAGTAAGTCCAAAATAGCGAATTAGCTCCACCTCAGGTCCTGATCATTCTCCCAAAATTTGAGTTCATTTGTATGAGAACTCATACTGAACTGGCCTTAAACTTGTTAGCTGTGTAAATCAGCAATGACATTGCTCAAGGCCACTTTATGATTAGCCAACAATCAATACGAAACTAACGATTTTAAATTGGCTCACCACTTTAGTAGCCTATTGGTCCCAAGCAAACGATTAACGTACCCTATTCTAGTTGAAATTCTATTACTACACTATGTTTGTTTTGATTCGCTATGAAAGTTTGACAGATAACATCAGGGGTGTGTGGATTCATGCAGAACATGCAGGGGTGAGTGAAATAGCTTGGGACTGCTTGGGACCGTTGTTCTGGTACTGAGTGAGCCAAAAATAATAATGATTTTCTTCGGGACCCAGTTGTCTTAGAGTTACCTCTATGGATTAGCCTTCAAGGTAATTAGTTATTAATTTGATTTTGAAACCGATTACTTTCTGATATTATTAATCAACTGCTTTCAGGGCAACACTGCATCTTGCACATATGACATATATGGAATGAAAATGACACGTTAAAACTATTGATTTTCATATAACATTGCGCTAAAGGAAAATCCTATAAAACGTATCTTTTTTCAGGTACCTACTGTTTTCAGAAATATGTGTCTGAAAGTATGGTCATATGAAATCCATTGACGCATCATTGGATTTTTCAAAGCGATATCTTCATTGGACATCCTCGTGGACATCCAATGGTATTTAAAGGATTTCGCCAATGGCGTTTACGTTAAGTTTTGCTTCAGTAGTCAACCCATAGAGGTAACTCTAAGACCACTGGGTCCCGAAGAAAATCATTATTATTTTTGGCTCACTCAGTACCAGAACAACGGTCCCAAGCAGTCCCAAGCTATTTCACTCACCCCTGCATGTTCTGCATGAATCCACACACCCCTGATCTTATCTGTCAAACTTTCATAGCGAATCAAAACAAACATAGTGTAGTAATAGAATTTCAACTAGAATAGGGTACGTTAATCGTTTGCTTGGGACCAATAGGCTACTAAAGTGGTGAGCCAATTTAAAATCGTTAGTTTCGTATGGATTGTTGGTCAACCTGTCAGCACTCGTGTTTTTTTTACTTACCGTGGGGAAATAATTTGTGACTAGCCCAATTAATCACTAACTATCCTGACGTTCAATTAAAATGCGGTCTTGAGCAAAATTATAGCTGGGAAAATGTCTCATTAGTACAGATAGCAAACTTTTTTGCAGATCATTACAGCGAAGGGCTAGAATTATGAGTACATTAAGTTCACTTTTCCCATAGTAAATGCCATATAAACTTCAAAGGCCCAGTGCAGTATGAGACTCGGTTTGAGATCCCATCTAAATGAGCTCAAATTTTGGGAGAATGCTCAGGACCTGCTTTGAAATCGATGGAGCTTGGTGGAACAAAATCGATATTTTGAACCACCCTCCACCGTACACTCAAATTAAATGACTGATATTTTTCATGTGCGTAAAACACATAGATTGTAAGCAGAAATATAAATTTCTATTTTATGTGCGTATAATAAAAAGTATGTGTGGTACTTTAAAAAAAAACATTATGCGTAGATTAAATTTGAAGTGCACCGATATGGATTTCAATACGTCATGCATAAAAATCAAAAGCGAAAACATAAACAAAAAACGTGATCAATCGAAGTGAAAAATGGCGCTAGCTGTGAATATTAATTCGCTTGAGGACGTAGTTTTGATGAAACTAAATTTGCCGGTCGAACTACTCGAGCTGTTCACAGGTAATTAGCAATTGATTTATTGTTGAGTACATTAAAAAATATATGTTTTGCTGCTTGCAGAATTAAATTACACCGCCAACACATTTGAAAATATAACCAAAGACGAACTCGTCAACGACTTACGAACATCCGGCTGGCTTTGAGCTTTGAGATTTATCTGGGGTGGGGTCTGCGTTGCCACTATTGTTCTCAAACTTATCGGTATCCAGTCATCAGGGACCAGGTTGAACAAATAACCTCGCAAATAA